TATATATAACAATTATAATTTAAGAGCTCGTATCCTCAAATGTATAACACACCCACACACACAATGCCTACGTCGCTAGACTCACTAGTTTTACGAAATTCACCATTTGCATCTACCATACTCTGATGATGACTTAAGTCGAAAACTTGGACCATACTTCTTTCGAAATGAACTTTGGACAACAATTTCTGACGTGATTTCCTCTTTCTCTGAGAAACATTATACGCATTTTGGAAAAGTCGATCAATAAAATTAATCGACACAAAAAGTCTGTTGTCTTTAGTAACATTTGCCTTAAAGAACATTTCGTGCCTAAAGACCCAGAATATACTGAGAGCGAGAGGGAAAGAAAGAAAGAGAGATAGAAAAAGAGAGAAAGAGAAAAAAGAGGAAAAAGAGAGAAAGAAAGAGAAAAAGAAAAAGAGAGAGAGAAAGAGAAAGAGAAAAAGAGAGAGAGAAAGAGAAAAAGAGAGAGAGAAAGAGAAAAAGAGAGAGAGAAAGAGAAAAAGAAGAAAAAGAGAGAAAGAGAAAGAAGAAAAAGAGAGAAAGAGAAAGAAGAAAAAGAGAGAAAGAGAAAGAAGAAAAAGAGAGAAAGAGAAAGTGAGAGGAAAAGAGAGAAAGAGAAAGTGAGAGGAAAAGAGAAAGAAAGAAAAGAGAGGAAAAGAGAGAAAGAGAAAGAGAGAGGAAAAAGAGAGAAAGAAAGAGAGAGGAGAAGAGAGAAAAGAGGAAAGAGAGAGAAAAGAGAGAGAGAAGGAGAAAGAGAGAGGAAAAAGAAAGAAAGAGAGAGGAAGGAGAGAAAAGAGAAAGAGAGAGAAAAAGAGAAAAGAGAGAAAGAGAAAGAGAGAAAAGAGAGAGAGAAAGAGAAAGAGAGAAAGAGAAAAGAGAGAAAGAGAAAAGAGAGAAAGAGAAAAGAGAGAAAGAAAAAAGAGAGAAAAAAAAGAGAGAAAGAAAAAGAGAGAAAGAAAAAAAGAGAGAAAGAGAAAAGAGAGAAAGAGAAAAAGAGAGAAAGAGAAAAAGAGAAAAGAGAGGAAAAAGAGGAAAAAGAGAGAAAGCGAAGAGAGGAAAAAGAGAGAAAGCGAAGAGAGGAAAAAGAGAGAAAGCGAAGAGAGGAAAAAGAGAGAAAGAGAAGAGAGGAAAAAGAGAGAAAGAGAAGAGAGAGGAAAAATAGAGAGAGAGAGGAGAGAGAGAGAGAGAGAAAGAGATTTTTGAGTGATATAGATAGCGTAAACAGATATGAACAGAGTGACACAGATTGATACAAAGACCAATTTAAACAGACACACAGAGAGAGAAAAATGAAGAAGAAGTTAAAAAAATATTAACGACGCATTTCGCAGTAAGCACCTGCTTTTTTGCCTTCCTCAGGTTAGAATGAAAGAAAGACATGTATGGGAAGAAAAATGTCTTGGGATCTCTGAGGACAAGAGGGAACCATAAATCATATTAAATTACATTATCTTCTAATTTCCAATGTCCAGACACAAGAGAGTTTCTGTCCACCTGTTTGTTTTATCAGAGAGGCGTTTGGCGTTGTACGATTTTAAATCAGTCCACCGAATCTAGACAGTATTTTTAATACATCTTTCATTAAAGAAAATTGACAAGGAAGATTTCATTTATTTGTTATTTCGTTTTTACAGCGTCCTTACGTTTTTCCTTTGAGTAGAAGTAAGGGAGTACAGATATTTTTCATAATTGTCATTGTCCCAATCGCTTTCGGTCACTTCTTTAGCCATTTTCAAGAGGTTTTTGTTAGTTTTCCCCCCATGTTTTGACTGTTTAAGTTGTAATTTATTTTTGCGTTGTTTTGAATAGGAGCGTTTATACCAAAAAAAGAGAAAATCTTCCTTGTCAGCGGTATTTAATGAAAGATGTTTAAAAGAAAGGTTGATGTCCAAATATATATATATATATATATATATATATATATATATAAATAAAAAGAAAGAACAGTAAGATATATAATCCGGTGTTCTTATAGATATTTTTATTTTTACAAAATAGTGCTCAATGTAAATTTACAGAGCATTAATATTACAAATTAATTGATTTAAAATATTTTTTCGCTACACAGTTCTAACCATGTTTCAAAAATGGAAGCTAAAAGCTCCGAATTTAATTTTGTAATTAAATTAAAGACATTAGTTCCATTTCATCCTCAAGCGAATGCCGTAAGAATTTTTGCCGTTAACAATAAAATTTAAAAAAATCCAGACGACATGCATTTAACGGATGTTAGATTTCATTGAAAAATACATCCTTACCGCTACCAAAACGTAACTAATAACGGATACATCAAAATACAGACATAATGAACACGCAAACACCCCTTGTCTCTAGTGGAAGTGGTTTTATCTGTAACCTTGGAAACGTGAATTATGATTTTAGCTGTGTCTTTAAAACCCAGTAATTTTAAAAGTTACTCCAAAATTCGCTTGAGGATGAAATGGAACTAATGTCTTTAATTTAATTACAAAATTAAATTTGTAGCTTTTAGCTTCCATTTTTGAAACATGGTTAGAACTGTGTAGAAAAAAACATTTTATATATATATATATATATATATATATATATATATATATATGATTCCCTTATATATAAAGATTAGGAAATCAGCCAATCACGCTACCTTGGTTTCAATCTTTCGGTATCTTCAGGCAATTCGGGCCAAATTGAAAAATATATTGAGCACTTTTTAATACAACTGTTTCCTGGTCTAATTCAACTCTGATCAATAAGTATTATATTATAGCCCATGTTTTCTGTACTTAAACATGCACACATATAGAGATCTACTCGTATATATCTGTGCATACGTATAACTTTTTTTTTTAGGTAGAAAGACTTGCATACAAAACACGCGTGTTGTGGACGTATAAAACACGCTTGGATAAGCATACTAAAAAGAAAGGTAAGTAAAAGGCCAAGAGGGAAGTGGGCCGAGTATTTATGTAAAAATCGCAGGTGGAAAAAAAAAAGGTATTGACACCTGCCTATCCAATGACAGGAGCCACATAGAGCATTCCTACCACGACTTCACCGAGATAGGAGCCAGCATTATCTGGTCAAATTCAGAACACCGAGAGAGGACAAAAACTCCGATTAGCGCCATACTCTTATTTAGTTGTAATTACTAAATGTCCCGATGAGAAAAACATGTGGTAGCCCAAAATAAAACGATATGTTCATTCTTCAAAAGAATATAGCATAGTCTCTAATCATACGAGAACTTAGATAAATATTTTAAAAATCCAAACACGTACTGGAACAGCAAGAGTTATTTTTTTTAATTGCTTGGTCGTAAGCAAGGCGATAATGTCACTGAGACGCAAGGGGTTACTGAGTCTGAAAGATGAAAAAAATGTCAGTACAGAGAAAAGACAATAAAATAACAGGATTCAGGAAGGGCGAAGATAGTGTTTAATGTGGTATTTAAAGATTCTAGGTGACAGAAAAGCCGGAAGAGAGTTCGACAAGCGAGAAAAGAAACTCTTAGAATAGAACTTACGGTTCCATCTAGCTATTTCAATAGTAAAACATTGAGACCTCGCTGCCACTCTCGTATGCGGTAGATGAGATGAGCCAGGAGAATAGTTATAAAAAGGACACAGGAAAGTCACGTCACTGCGATGGAAGACTGACTAGAGCCGAGTTGCCAGGTCAGGACATATAACATTACAGATCCTTCTTTGGATTATTATGAAGTATCTCATATATATGTGTGTGTGTGTAGCAGGAGCACCACACCAGATATTGCAGCATTATTTAATGCTTGAACGAATGGCAGATTTATAAACATGCAAGATAGATTCTATCGAGAAAATTGTCCACCAAAAGCTAAGTAAAGTATTAAGAAATAGGAAAACATTCGAATACGACAAAAAGAACGGAGTTTTACAAGAGAGAAGTGCGAGGTAAGCTGTTAGCATAGATCTATATCCAGCCAACTCGACTGTAGACTAATGAGATCTCAACATCAGTCTAGTACTGTGCTTAAATGTAAAAAGTTTAGGTACTATAGCGAAGAGCTTATTCGAATAATTACTATGGAAGTATTTCGAGAAAAGACACAGAGAGGCAAACTTATGGTGTTGGGGAAAGTGACTGAAGCCGAGCTGCCAGATCAGGACCTATAATATTGCAGCTTATTTTTTGGTTCTTATCAAGGAGATCAAGGTAAATAGTAGGGACACTGGACCGTATATGGTAGCAATATTCTAAGCATGGACGAATGGTAGACTTATAAATATGTAGATAGATTCTAAAGAGGAAACGACACAGTGAACCAACTTTCTTAGCAGCTGATCTAGCAATGGATTTAATATAGTCTTTTTACTTCATGTCAGCTGACGACGTTGGCCCGAGAAGGCGTAACGAGTGACTTGCTTGGATGTTAGCATCTTTACTCTTATTTGTTATAACTTCTGAATTCATTTCTACAGATGACCGCGGGTAATTCAAACAGTAGAGAGCAAAATAGCGGATAATGGAAACCATTGTGAATAACAATCCATTGTCAATAGTTGCAAGAACTTTTCTTGGAGAAATCTCATTTGCCAGGAGGTGCGAAAAATTGAAAAAAAAATATGACGTCAGTTTTGAACATGGCGTGCGTATATACAGCATTGGTTACAGTAATGTCCTCTATAGATTTATGAAATTAATCAATTTGATTGGTTGCTAAGACGAGAGACGAGAGAGATGGGGCGGGGTACAACACCCTCCCTGTCGAACCTCCAATAACAATTTTTTTGTCATGACATCAAAAGCGTATTGAGTGTAAAAAAAATATCTAGGGAACGAGGTTTATACAAAACAAAGTGTCGTGGGGAAAGCGGTGGCTGTCTCGAAGTCTGTCGTTATTGAATTGGAATGAGGACATCAAAGGAGCCGAATTGTGGAGGGTGGAGCGGGGAATAAAGGTGTGGGGTGTTGATGTGGGTAGTTTGAGTCTGATGAGACAGATGATGATGTAGGTGTGAATGTAAGTTATAAGGGAGATGGCTAGGGTACAGTACTTTGGTAACGACAGCGTTCGATTAGCAGACTGCTCGTTTCCAAGACACACACACGATATATATATATATATATATATATATATATATATATATATATATATATTATATTTTTTTTTTTTATTCATTTTATAAAAAAAAAACTCCACACCATACTGATTTATCTCCCCTTAAACGGTATCAGCGGTCACGAACTGGCGCAGCGTTCCTCACCCCACATGGAAGAAATTCAACTTTCAGTTGAACACAATAATTTTGCCTTTGACAATAATCAACACTACAGTATTTATCTTGTAATAAACAATATTGTGTTATGTCGAAAGTACTCGGAAATAAAAGAAATATGTATCAACACGGCGATTTTCTCTCGTCCTTCAATAACGACACGAAAAAGCTTATCCGTGAATATGAAAGGACCCAGTTGAAAAAAAGTAGACAGAACATGTCTAAATTATTCAGCAAAACAGGTCTCAGTATATAATTAATAATCAAGCAAATCCTTTTACCTCATATGGGGAATAGGCTATTTCGTCAGTCGACGAAACTGGTCGTCTGTCTTTTCAACCAAGTTATGGAATGACGTTCACGCCTGGAAGGTTAGAGGAAGTGGGTGGTAGTAGGATTTGACTCTGAGAAATTGATATTGGAATCTAAAGTGTCAACTTAAACCATAAGTTTCCGAAAACACCTACTACAGAGTTTACACCTTATTGTTTCAGTGGGACGCCAGACAAAAGACAGAGCTTAAGAAGGGTGGTAGGTATCTCTCTTAACGGGGAGAGGTTTTATTAAAGAAGGCCCCGAATATTAACCTTATAACTATATATGTATTTTATGAAATAGATTCATACATTCCAGAATTAAATAGGAATTTAGGCATACTCAAAGAATACCTTTTTCACAGAAAACCTTCTACAACCCTAATCATGGCAAACAACTAACTTAAACCTATCAGATCTATTCAGTAATATAACACATGCGAAAAAAAGAATGTCTGGAAAAGAAAGTACCGGTTGATTTTTCATTTCTCTTTTCATTGAAACGTGTCCGAAAATTCCATTTTTTAAAATCTTTCTCATGCTTCCATTTGGTCAAAAGGTCGACTAATAAACTGTTAGTCTTGTCTGGTTTTCGCACGTTGAGAGCGCCTCCTCTCGACTGAGAAAAAAAACAAAAAAACACTGTTGTTATATAGCTCTCTCAGTTCCAGACCCACGCTAACTATAATCTAATACCTGCCCAGTATCGTTCATATGCAAATAGACAGCGCCACCTACTCTAAATAAAAAGTCTTCTCTCAACAGCTCATTGTGGAAGGGGACGTAACTCCTGGTGCTTACAGTACCACATACAACCAACTCGGAGTCTTTTATCGGGCTGACCCGATTCTCTGTTACATAATACAATAAATATTAGTCTTATTATAAATATTATTATCGTTGTTTTTTTATGTATTGAATTTCTTTCACCGACCTATCATATTTATCTATACGTGATGATTTTTTATATATCAAGAATAATATTGGGGGGAAATTTATGACTAAGTGGGAAAAAGTTTTCTTGTGATGCGTTTCGTCCTTCAGGACTTTATTCGACTAAATTTGTTATGTTGGTGTGACGAGGGATGCTGTGAATGTTAAATATTTAAATTAATTTTATATTATATATATATATATATATATATATATATATATATATATATATAGCTGATTTCATTTAGATTCTTTTTATTTCCATCACTTGTTAATAGATATCGCGCAATCAACCTTCATAACTCCTGTATTTTGCCTGGCGTTCCACTGAAACAGTGAAAATTGTAAACTCTGTAGTTGGTGTTTTCGACAGGTTATGGTTTAAGTTGACACTTTAGATTCCAATATCAGTTTCTCAGCCACACCCTACCACCACCCACTTCCTCTAACCTTCCAGACATGAACTTCATTCCATAACGAGGTTGAAAAGACAGACGACCAGTTCCATTGCGTCTAGCATGAAACAGACTGTCGCCTCTAAGTGTTGACTTCTATGTTCACTTTTATACTAACACACGCTCTATCTCTGATATTGAGCACTTTATCCCGTAAATATAGCACACCTTAAGACACACACACACACATTATATATATATATATATATATATATATAAAGTTGTGTGTGTGTGTGTACAGAGTGCGATGGATAAATTATCGTCTAAATGACGCAAAAATGAAAATAACAAATATATTTCCTCAAATTACAAAAAATATCTTAAAATACAAAAGATTAAATTTATTCAATAAAACCGCCAATGACTGCATCCCTTCTTGACGGTCTCATGGTTTAAGTTTGTGAATGCTGCCATAGTCCGTGCCTTCAGTTCATCTTTGGTGATACAAGGAGTTTTGTTGGTCCCTTGCTCAACTGCGCCCCACACATAATAATCAGGGTGGGGTGTCAGCAGTCTTGGGAGTTAGGTGGCCATAAATAAAGGGTGATGTGGTCGCAGAAATAGCCAGATTTGTCACCCATTTCATGTTTATCAAAAGGAATTCGTTAGCCTATCGACAGTTCGAAATAATAATTCAATATTCTTATATACCTAAAAAAAGTAATATACAAACAACATTCTCCAAAAATTATCCACACACACACATATATATATATATTCTTTACTTATTTCCTTGTCGTCCGTACGGGCGATTATATTTAAGTTTTTTTTTAAAAAAGCCACTTCCCAACTACAGCAACCCGTGGCTTAGGTATATATTGCAGGGTTATTTCTCTCATTTTTCGTTTTCTATTTTATTTCGGACCGTTCAGATCTACCAGACCCGGACTGTTAAAATCTGTCTGACCGTTCAGGTCTATCTGCTTGCCTGCCTGTCTCGGACCGTTCAGGTCTATCTGCTTGCCTGCCGGTCACGGACCGTTCAGGTCTATCTGCTTGCCTGTCTCTGACCGTTTAGGTCTATATGCCTGCCTGTCACGGACCGTTCAGGTCTGCCTGCCTGTCTGTCACGGACCGTTCAGGTCTATCTGCTTGCCTGCCTGTCTCGGACCGTTCAGGTCTATCTCCTTGCCTGCCTGTCTCGGACCGTTCAGGTCTATCTCTGCCTGCCTGTCTCGGACCGTTCAGGTCTCATCTCCTTGCCTGCCTGTCTCGGACCGTTCAGGTCTATCTCCTTGCCTGCCTGTCTTGGACCGTTCAGGTCTATCTCCTTGCCTGCCTGTCTCGGACCGTTCAGGTCTATCTCCTTGCCTGCCTGTCTCGGACCGTTCAGGTCTATCTCCTTGCCTGCCTGTCTCGGACCGTTCAGGTCTATCTCCTTGCCTGCCTGTCTCGGACCGTTCAGGTCTATCTCCTTGCCTGCCTGTCTTGGACCGTTCAGGTCTATCTCCTGCCTGCCTGTCTGACCGTTCTCGGCCTGTCTCGGACCGTTCAGGTCTATCTCCTGCCTGCCTGTCTCGGACCGTTCAGGTCTATCTCCTTGCCTGCCTGTCTCGGACCGTTCAGATCTATCTCCTTGCATGCCTGTCTCGGACCGTTCAGGTCTATCTCCTTGCCTGCCTGTCTCGGACCGTTCAGGTCTATCTCCTTGCCTGCCTGTCTCGGACCGTTCAGGTCTATCTGCTTGCTTGCCTGTCCCAGAACGTTCTGATCTACCTGTCCCGAACCGTTCAAATCTATCTGCCTGTCGGCCTCGGACCGTTCAAATCTTAACTGCCGACCCCTTTTGGGTTATTCAGATATTTCTCATCGTCCTTGCTCTTTTATATCTATCAGCCTAAATCTTCATGTCCAACTTTAAGTTTGCCCTCACACTCTAACCAACTATGACTAACCTTTGAATGCTTACTCATTATTTGACCTAAGTAACCCTTCGAAACAATTCTAATTTTAATTTCCGTGCAATAAGAATGTTTATTTTGGGCGAATCGCAAATCAGTCTTTCGTATGACATAAAATTTTAAACTAATTTCTAACATCTGCCTCAAGTAATAACCATTATTTCTCAAGAAATTACAAGAAAGGCAACTTTCTTTGCTTTACGTCCGCGTGTTCTTTCTGAACGACAAGAACAAATGCATTAAATTTTGAAAATTGATTCGTAAATTGCCATTTGTCGATTACCGTCCGTAAATTTATGGCCGCTGGGTTAATTCCCAACGAACTCTGCCTGCCAGATGCCAGTTTTAATGGCGTGCTTGAAACTGACTTATTTGGCTAGAAATTCACATGTGTTTCTTCCTGCCAGAAAAAAAAATGAAGAAAAAATAGGGGCGGACGTCTATACACGCCAGTGATTCGATTTTTTAAATCGTTTCGAAAACAGACCCTTAATATTATTGCAACAGAAAATAATTGTTAATTTTCAGTGCAGTTAACCTTTTGCAAGTATGAAATATCGCATCATATGAAAGTAATCCCGGAGAGCATAAATATCGCAGGCATGACGATATGCTACATTCGGCAGCAAGAGATTGGAGGTTTTGAGGAGCGTGTAATCACCTATTAATTGCTCTTCTTCCCAGGTCTAGCCTCACTGTTGGGGTCCCAGTTATGGGCAAATAGTGACCCCCATCCCAAACAAAAACAAAACACTATGATTCATTGAAAATACATTTTTATAGTAAAAATACCAGCTATATATATATAAGTGCGCAGGTATGCAGAAAATAGAAAAGAACACGTTGGGTGCATAATCCGGAGTTCCTTAGTATTTTTGTTTTTATTTTTAAGAAGACAGTGCTCCATACAGAAGTAGAGCTTTATAATAATATTTTTTGTTTAAAAATATGATTCCTTCGCTACATAAGAGTTCGCATGTTTCAAAAATTACAACCGAAACCATCCAAATAATTATTAAAATTAAGTTGAATTGAGGTGTTTAGTCACGTTTCATCTTCAAGCGAAATTTTATATATATATATGAGAGAGATAAATAGTGATAAATAGAATAGTCGTAATTGTAGAGTTTGTTTTAATTCCTGACCGCTGACAATCCCTTTTTATTGCTTTTCAATGCATTCTATATTAAAATGGTTAATAATGCATTTATATTATACATTTAATCGATATGTTCTGTGAGTAATACTTGTCTTCATTCCTGACCACTGACAATCCCTTTCTTCCTGATTTTCAATGCATTCCTATAGTAAAATCATTAGCAATGCATTTCCATTATACATATAATAGCCCTATTCTATCAGTAATGCTTGCCTTCATTCCTGACCACTGACAATCCCTTTCTTCCTCATTTTCAATGCAGATGAATCGCTACATAATCCGAATATAAATTTTAGGTTCAAATTACAATGTTGTTAATTGAAAATAACATTCTTTCTCCTATCCACAGGAAAACTTCATTTCCTTTATCTGAAAATGATTAAAGCGAAGTGTGGTCGCTGAAATGAGGCAGGTTCTCAGTTGGCATCGATAAGCGGCAACCTTATGTCCCCACTGGGAACAATCAAGTTTTATCTTTGCTTTTCCGCGAAAATTTCGTTTTATCACTAGAGATGTAACCATTTGACTGGTAGAACGTTTTAACGCATTCTTCTTTTATGCGTCGTGTCCCTTCAGGGCATAGGCGAACATGGCCCTCCACATCTTCCTGCCCTTAATAAGTTTTGTCTTTTTGTTATTTCTCTCAAACACTGTTCTACCATTCATTTTCCTGAAGCTCATCAAGTATATTACTGTTGTAGAGTAGTTTCACAGTGGAGGCTTGTATTTCACTAAGTCGGTCCTAAAATAGGTTCGACGTACAAAACGTTAGGAACTTGATATAATAGGTAATGACACAGAGAAATCTAGTCGTGGTGGCTGATACTTTAATATCCGACTAACGGTCGTCCGACATCGACTGACTGATCAACTCACTGAGGATATTCAGTCACCACCCCCCACCCCACTGGAGCAGCATGTGGCACAAGGCCGGTTATTTAATATGGGATATCCGAGCCCGTGGGCTCGGCCCAAAAACATGCCCATTGAACCATTATAAACGGGCTCAGGGTCGGTTTATCTCCCCGAACGAGACTCGGCCCCTCGGCGTAGCCTCGTTCGGGTTCCTCCCCGTCCGAAGACAGAGAGTTCAACCGATCAGCTGGTCGTCCGACTTCAGACTGAGCGACTGGCGACTGCTACTACTCCTACTTATTATAGGTGGGAGAGTCTATTAACAATAGAATAGGTGTGTTCCACTATAACAATTACACTCTGTCCCTCAATCTGCCTTGTGAGTATCAAGTTTTCCAAGCCTTCCTTCCTCATTACATGCCCCAGAAATTTCAATTGCTTCTTCCTGATATTAAGTTTTCTTTTTGTTTCCATTTTCTCCAAAACCTCGTTGTTGCTCACATGTTCGTTCAATGGCATCCTCAGCATCCTTCTGTAGAACCACTTTTCTGTTGCTTCGAGTTTCTTCTTCATCTTTGAGGAGATTGTCCAGCATTTGCTGCCATACAGGAGGGGAGAGGCCGTTCAAAAATACCGTCAGATATTAGATTTAATAAAATCCCAGTTAAAATTAACAACAATATATCGACCTATTTCTACCACTCAACTAGAATAAGTCATAAGTCCGAATTTTAAGTTTTACATAGACCCGAGACCCCAAATAATCAAGCCTCTTTGGTATTTCCTAAATCTTAGCTCAATCTTCCTCCGAAGTATAGTGTGTGGGGGAGATGGCCTTTCTGGGGCGAGATATCTATCTATCTATCTATCTATGAAAACGCAGTTTTTCTTGAACACTTGGGAATGAATGACGAAATATATTATGATAGATTTCTTTGTTCAGGGTTTTCTTATTCTAGCAGTGGACTGGATGATTCAATACAATTCGCCAACATTGATGAAGACAATGGTGAAATTTCTGCCACTTTCTTTTTTTTTTTGGTGGGGGTTACGCATACAAGCGGCCAGTAGTGCTCCTTGTTTTAAATTTCAAAGAATTTCTTTTCGAACGGAACGTAGGGAGAAGTAAATAGGATCACAAACTGGACCGCGACACATACGACGGGCCGCAAATTGGACCGCGGCACATACAACGGGCCGCAAACCGGACCGCGACACATACGACGGGCTGCAAACCGGACCGCGACACATACGACGGGCCGCAAATCGGACCGCGACACATACGACGGGCCGCAAACCGGACCGCGACACATACGACGGGCCTCAAACCGGACCGCGACACATACGACGGGCCGCAAATCGGACCGCAACACATACGACGGGCCGCAAACTGGACCGCGACACATACAACGGCTGGAGAATAGAACCTTACATTCACAGAATAATCACAACATTTCAAATGACGAAAAAAGCTGGAGAATGAAATGTAACAATCAACATAAAAAAATAATGAGGTTACTAATTTTAAAGTCTTTGGTGAGTAATGGTAGTGCTAGGTTTCAAAATATTAAACAATAATGAACGAAGAGTGTATCGGCTGACAGCATAATATGAATTTCATACAAAATAATCCATCCTTACCTTAAAATAAGATTTCTTTCCACCAAAATAGATAAAGGCCAAAAAGGTCTGGTAACATTCACACGCCTATCAGATGGAATAGAAATATTTTATAGATTCTAAAATATTATACTGAGAAATCGGTTATGTCTTCAAACGGGACGAGAAACCATGAAGAAAAAAAAAAAAGACAAAAGGGGGGTGGGGGGATTACGAAATGTCTAGCTCTCCACTTTCCCCCGTTTTTTTTTTCTTTTAACGAATTTGGGAAAGAGAGAAGGCGAGGGGGAATTTCCTCCTTGTCACTCAGCCTGCAAAGATTGTTCTCCTCAAGTGTAAAGATGAACACACCTTTTTGAAATCAAACAAGACGAACTATTTTAAATATGTTAGTAGGTACCCCCCCCCCAGAAATCTGATAGCTAAGGTTTAAAATTAATTTTTAAAAATGAAAAAATATTTCTTGAAACTTATTTTAATTTCAAAGCAGAATTATTATTACTTCAAAACTTCCAAGAAAATTATTAAATTTTGGCATTTAATGGGGAGTTGATATGCCGTTAAACAAACAAATAAATAAATAAATAACTAATGAGGTAACACTCAAATCGGAAGGTGTGTTGGAATAGCAAAAGTTGCCTTCTAAAAATTAAAACGTATGAGGAGGAAATTTTCGCTAGAAAAGAAAAGATTAAAGTGTTATGTACATGGCAGTGAATGCTGGACAATCACCCCCACGGATAAATAGAAGACTCAAGACAACAGATATGTGGTTTTACAGAAAGATATTGAGAATAACATGGACAAAACATGCGAGCAATGTGGAAGATGAAAATGGAAATTAAAAAAAGGTTACTTATACTTTGAATTAGAAATAGACAGCCGAAATTTTTAGGGCACATAATGAAGAAAGAAGGCTTGGAAAATTTGAAAAATGGCGATTAACTTACCTATCGAGAGTGGGAAGGATAGTAAAAGTAGTGGAGAGCCATAATCAAACTACCTAAGGAGCTTGGGTAACTGGATGACAGAACACTGGTAGGAGATACAGAGAATTGGAAGTTGTAGAGAGCCATGTACACCTACGTCTTGAAGGGACACGGTACATAAGAAGAAGAAAAAGAAGAAAAAGAAAAGTACTTGCTTTGTCAAAACATCAACTCCGCCATATTTAACGCAATGTAATTTAAATTTTTTAAAGTCTTAAAATTCGTAATTAAAAGTTTACTGAAAATCTTGCAAAGCAGATTCTGTGGAAATTAATTAGTTCCATCATTGCTCAACTAAATTGCACCAAAAATTGGTAAGAACAATAAAAAATTTACCCCCGCCTTTTCTTTTTTTAACAGTAGGCACGCTTTTGATGTCGGCAAGGTTCAAAGGTCAAAGTCAAGTAGCGCGTTTATTGAGTGATTGTTTTGAAAGAGTCAGCAAAGTAGAAAGGAAGAAAGAAGAGGGAAAAACATTTCCTTACACCCTCTCCCCACCCGATTTTTCTTTTCTTTTCTTTTTTCTTTTTCTGATGACGAGTTTTGAAAAGTGGATGACGGGCGGGGTGAAGAGCCCATCTTTTGTCAATCTCTCCACAAGCTACAGGTATTTTTTCTGGAGTTATGTCTTCACTTTCGCTAATGTGTAGATTGCAATATTTGAGGGATTTCAAAAACTGGAGTTTTATTAACTGAAATAAAGGAGCCTGAGGGAGAGAGAGAGAGGGGGAAAGAGAGAAGGAGAAGAGAGGGGGAAAGAGAGAAGGAGAAGAGAGGGGGAAAGAGAGAAGGAGAAGAGGGGAAAAGAGAAGGAGAAGAGAGGGGGAAGGAAGAGAGAGAGGAGGGACAGAGAGAAAGGAGAGGGGGAAGAGAGAAGAAGGGGGAAATGGAGAGAAGAAGAAGGGGAAATGGAGGAAGGAAAAGAGAGGGGAAATGGAGGAAGGAAAAGAGAGGGGAAATGGAGGAAGGAAAAGAGAGGGGAAGAGAGAAGGAGAAGAGAGGGGAAAGGAAGAAGGAGAAGAGAGGGGAAAGGGAGAAGGAGAAGAGAGGGGAAAGGGAGAAGGAGAAGAGAGGGGAAAGGGAGAAGGAGAAGAGAGGGGAAAGGGAGAAGGAGAAGAGAGAATGGAAGATATAGAGGGGAAAGGGAAAGAGAGGGGAAAGAGAGAAAACAGAAGAGACAGGGGAAAGAGAGTGAAAACACGAGAGAGAGAGAGAGAGAGAAACAGAGAGAGAGAGAGAGAGAAACAGAAGAGAGAGAGAGAAACAGAAGAGAGAGAGAGAGAGAGAGAGAGAGAGAGAGAGAGAAACAGGAGAGAGAGTGCGAATATGTAAAAACAAAACGAATGAATGTTCATATCCACCATCCACCCTCTCCGGCCTTCATCAGTTGCTTGCCGATCAGAGTTTCGAAACGAACCCTTTATTCAATCAACGACACTAGATTGTTCTCATCCCGTGTTGTTCGTATCAAGTACGCCTCATTTATTGCTCTCCCGGTTTCCAAGGAGATGCCGTGTTAATATGAGTTTAACATTTGTCTATATCTCTGAGATGAGGTATTATGATTATTTAAATTCTCCGGATTGTCATCTTCATCTTCAGGTGATTGGAATTCCGAACCCTTTATTTCTAGTTCCACGTGCCATGCCTCTCCCAGATGTCTCAATTATTTCCCTTTAACTCAACTCTCCAAGTTTTTTGATTCGCCACTACTGTAGCCTGGTATTGAACTCACAACTCTTTGGCTCCAGTCACTGGATCTAACCAACGTCTTTATCCTTGTGGACATTTTTGTATGAATTTCTGGGAGTTATAAACCTAATGTCTCAGAAACATTTTTTTTACCAGTGCTCATATTGCAATTTTTCCGTTATTATTATTGTATATTTTTTACCGGAGCTTATATTGCAATTTTTGTGTTGTCATTCATTGCTTTTTCTTCCATATTGTATTAATTTCTATGCTTGGTCGGCTCGGGAGATTTTTGTTGCCTATCATATCTGCTGATTTGTATTTTCCAGTGATGTTCTCTTTCTGTTATTCCAACCTCATCCCACAGTGGACGAAATAAAAGGTTCGGTTCGAAATTCCAATCACCTGAAGAAGGCCGGAGCGTACAACGGCCGAAACGTTGTGAATATGGCAGTGGAGATGAGGATAACAGTCCGAATAATGTAAATGGGCTTAACAATTAAGAAAAATTGCAACGACAATCATAAATATGAATACTGCTTGTTGTTTTAAGAAGTAAGGGGGTACAAACGAAAAGATTAAAAATTGATAACTTTTTCTATTTCACTGAAACAGGCTTTGAAACGAAGTAGCGTCTCTGATAAGTCATTTCCGTCTTTACACGGGGTCAAAACGTAACAGTCCATTATTTATGTTATTGGCAGGGCGTAACGGTCGTACGAACCAACGAAAGGAGGGATAAGCAGAATTATTTATTTGTTGTTGGTAATAATAATAATAATAATAATAATAATGATAATAGCAGCTGCAGCAACCAGACACAGTTACCCAAAATAACGATGTAACTATCCTCTGGGACATGCCAGTTTATACTGACAGCGAAATAAAAGCCAACAGACCTGATATTTTCATAAAAGACAAGAAATTCAGGAAGTGTATGCTTATTGACATAGCAGTACCCTGTGAGAAAAACACTTCCATGAAAATTATCGGGAAATTGTCCAAATACAAGGAACTGGAGATCGAAATTAACAGGATATGGGGAATGAAGACTGAGACTGTACCAATAGTAATCGGAGCACTGGGCCTCGTGTGAAAGGGAATGGACAATTTTACTAACAGTGTCCCAAGTAACATCAACATACAAGTTACCCAGAAGACCGCCCTACTAGGAACATCCCATATACTATGAAAAGGGCTATCAATTAAATGATAATTCTCCTATAGTGCCTAAGGACAATAATTTGGACCCGGCCCTACAGGATACAAAGCAGGAACCATAACTTAGACATATAATAAGATTGTGTTCGTTTCTTTCATTGAATCAGAGTATCAGCACTAGTAGACAATATACAGGGCTTTGATTCACTAGGCCATGTGTGTCTTTTGAACAATGTTGTGTTGGAATATGGAAGCTTTAAAGCTAATATCTGGGCCCATTTATACGAAGATAGAGATATGAAGAAAAGGGTACAACGGCCGAAGCGATGGGGGAAGCATGAGAATCGAACGGAGAGAGTAAGAGAGAGACAGAGAGGTAAGAGAGAAAAACAAAAAAAGAGGAAACCGAAAAAGAGGAGAGCGAGAGAGAGAGAGAGAGAAAGAGAGAGAGAGAGAGACAAAAAAAGAAGACAAAGGAGAGATAGATAGAGAGAGAAGACAGAGGAGAGATAGATAGATAGATAGAGAAGACAGAGGAGAGATAGATAGATAGATAGATAGAGAAGACAGAGGAGAGATAGATAGATAGAGAAGACAGAGGAGAGATAGATAGATAGATAGAGAAGACAGAGGAGAGATAGATAGATAGATAGAGAAGACAGGAGGGGAGATAAATAGATAGAGAAGACAGAGAGAGAGATAGATAGATAGATAGAGGAGATAGATAGAGATAGATAGAGAAGACAGAGGAGATAGATAGATAGAGAAGAGAGGATAGATAGATAGATAGAGAAGACAGAGGAGAGATAGATAGATAGATAGAGAAGACAGAGGAGAGATAGATAGATAGAGAAGACAGAGGAGAGATAGATAGATAGAGAAGACAGAGGAGAGATAGATAGATAGAAGACAGAGGAGATAGAGAGATAGATGAAGAGAACAGAGGAGAGATAGATAGATAGATAGATAGAGAAGACAGAGGAGAGATAGATAGATAGATAGATAGAGAAGACAGAGGAGAGATAGATAGATAGATAGATAGATAGATAGATAGAGAAGACAGAGGAGAGATAGATAGAGATAGATAGATAGATAGAGAAGACAGAGGAGAGATAGATAGATAGATAGATAGAGAAGACAGAGGAGAGATAGGAGATAGAGAGAAGACAGAGGAGAGAAGA